CATGCACATAGTGGGTCTTCATCTGTCCAGTGTCTCATCAGCCTCAATGTGTGCTAGAACCACAAAGAACCGATACCCTGGCTGGGACTGATTACCAGTGTACAGAAGCTGGGTCACTCAGTTTCACCAGAGCAGCCCTGCTGCCCACTGGCAGCATCAGCTGTGACAAATTTCCTGGATTAGATCAAGAGAAAAGGGGCTTGGACTGAGTTTCTGAAAGTTACACATTTCATATTTGAAAAATCTCAAGATGGGAAGATCTTCCTGGAGTCCTGGGGTCTTTCCTTTATTTTCTTCTTTCATTCCTGGCCAGATCCATTCACTCGAGATTACCTGATAACACTAAGTCTGCTTACCAATGTTTGGGGTGAATCTGTGTTTTCAGGTAATACGACAGAAATTCTCAACAGATGGTTCCGAAATCGTCCTTCTGACTGATGGGGAAGACAGTACAATCAGCACATGTTTTGATGAAGTGAAACAAAGTGGGGCCATTATCCACACAGTTGCTCTGGGACCTTCTGCAGCCAAAGACCTGGAGGAGCTTTCAAAGATGACAGGTAAACAATAACCTGGAGAATATGTTTCTTCAATAGGCATGAAAGATTATTTCTATGTAAACCTCCCCTCACGTTCTCCACTAAGATCTACAGGTGAACCAGTACAGGAGACCTGGTGTTTCTGAAGGCTATGGAAATGGGACACAGGCTCTGGAAGGTCAGGCAATAAACATTTAAGTACCTACTATGTGCCAAGAGTCCCTGAACAGCTGAATTGATGGATCCTTGAAGTAATGAGGATCCAGGAAGTTCAATTATGAACGAAATAAATGAACTGGTTTAGATCATAGATTCTGTGATGCTTATTTGAGTCCTTATCAACATTTTTATCTCTTCCCAAGGCCTTGGTTGTGTTCCAGGTAAATGAGACTTTAATGATTGTATGAGATATACTTTATACACCACAAGACTGAAAAATATTACCTTTACCTCCTAGAGTGAGGTTTTATTCCTACTAGCTGTAGAATGGCTGCAGTTTATGAAAGAACATAAAACTTCATGAAAAAATAACTTTGGTAAGACTGTTAATTTGTCATTACCCTGTGCCAATTATTTAATTTCTGTTAATATGATCCTACTTTAGGAGGTGTGAAGACAGCTTCTACAGACAATGCCCAGAACAATGGGCTCATTGATGCATTCAGTTCCCTCTCATCAGGAAATGGACTGATCACTCAACGGTCCATCCAGGTCAGTTTCCATTTCTCCTTTCACATGTTTGCACTGTATAGGATCACAGCATTCTAGAGTCAGAAATTTAGAGTTTCGAAGGACCTCTGAGGTTCATAAAATCATACATCAGAGATATAAAGTTGGAAGGAACTTCAGAGTGAACCAGTCCAAACCACACATTTCATAGGTGAGGAAACTGAGGATGATGGACTTGTCTGAAGTCAAGATGATTTGAGAATCATCAGCCAAGAGATGATAATTGAATCCATGGAAGCTAATGAGATTACTATGTGAAATAGTATAGAGGGAGAAAAGAAGAAGACCCAGGACACAGCACGATTGGTGGCCATCATTATAGTAACATTGGACAGAGAAGTTTCAGTTGAGTGATAATGTTGGGAGACAGACTGTAGAGTTTAAGAAGAGAGTGAGAGGAAAGGGAGAAGAAGCACCTATTGTATACAGCCTTCTCTAGGAGCTTAGCTGCAAAAGTGAGAAGAGGTATAGGATGATAGCTCGTGGGGATGGACAGATCAGATGAAGATTTTTGAGGATGGAGGAAACATGGGTATGTTTGTAGTAGAGAAGAGGCCAAGCAGACAAGGAGATTGAAGATGAATGAGAGTGTGAGAATGACAGAAGGGACAAACTCCTGAAGAAGACAGGTTGGAAATGGGTTTCTCATGCATGGAGAGGGTTTTGCCTGGCAAAGAAAAGGGCCACCTCTTAATGTGAGGCAGGAGTGAAAGAGATAGTGGTAGAAGGCATAGGGGAGACATGAAATGAAAAGGAAGATGAGGAAAAAGGAGCTCTCAGAGAATGATATCAATTTTTTTCAGTGAAATATGAGGTAAGATTTTCAGATTAGAGAGTGAGGGACAGGGAGCCATGGGAGGTTTAAGGAGAGTTGAAAAGGTTTGGAGGAGGCTCTGTGGTGAGTGGGAGAGTGAGGTAATTGGGAGGAATAAAAGGACAACAGGACCAGGCCAGGCCAGACCAATAAGGCAGGGTGGTTCAGTGGAAAGAAATCTGGATTCTTTATCTGCTGATGCAATCACTCTGACATTTGTACTGTTTGTATCTTGTATGCACAGCTTTTCTTTTTCTTTTTGAATGTTGCTCCCAGCCCTAGTCAGAATGTGAGCTCCTTGTGGGCAGAGACTGCTCTAAATCTCTATGCTTTTGCTCAAGATGTTCCTTCCACTCACCAAAAATCCTGCCTGTCTTCACCGCTGAGAAGCTGACTCAAAATCAAGGAGCTGAACTCAAGAACCTGGCTGAGACTACAGTTTTATTCTCTCCCCACTCACAATAGAGCGAATTTGATTTAGAAGGGAAGTTGAGTAGAAAAAAAAAGGAAGGGAGAAAGAGTGAATAAGGGAAACTTGAATATTACCTTGGGCTAAGAATAAGGGATCTCATTCTAGCCCTGTCTTTCATGTCCTTTGTGCCAGGAATATTATTCATGCACATTTGTATAGCTATGACACCTGTCTCCTCTCTTGACCATCCTATCTCCTAATGTATGCTAACCAGAGGGATAGGGAAGGGACCTCTAATTTAATTGTTAGAGGAACTTCCAGGTAAGGAAACTCCCTCTACCAATGCATGCTGGTTCCTGCTCTGCAATTTATAATCTTTTGCCCATTGGCATGATATGACTTGTTGATAACTTATTCCTTTGCCCAGTCACTAAATGGTTTGTTATGGTTTCTTAACAGCTTGAGAGTAAGGGAGCCACTCTGAAGGATGGGGAATGGATGAATGGCACAGTTACTGTTGACAGCACAGTAGGCAATGACACACTATTTCTTGTCACATGGACAGCACAACAACCCCAAATGTTTGTCTCAGACCCCAGCGGGAAAATCTATGATACTTTTTCAGTGGATGCAATTTCCAAGATGGCATACCTCAAAATACCAAACACTGCCAAGGTGAGGAGCTTTTTCTCTTTTCAGAAAATGGAGCCAAGACTTTAATATCAGTATTATAACTTTGTAACTATTCTTGAGTGACAAGAAGTATTTTTTTACTAAAAAAAAACACACTCTTATTCCACATGTTCTCTTAAAAAGTGATGAATTGACCACAAAAAGCCAAGGCTTAAAAAATGACACTGTGGCAAGAAAGGAATTGTAATAAGATGTATTTAATTGTAGAAACTGGGCTAGAACTTAAGGAAGGTTAGGAGGGCAGGCCAGGAAGTTATAGAACCTTTTCTGATTGATATGAACATATTTATGACACCCCATTTCCCCATCCAGAATTTTATAATATATGAGTACTGACATCCAAAATCTTAGCCTTGCTTCTGAGGAGTAAAGACTATGGCGGGGCAAATCTTTTAAGTCACATTTTTCTTAGCAAAGGTTTCAATAGTAATCAGTATTACGCATACCCCAGGGGAAGCTCTAGTCTAGTTGCTGCACTCAGAGGGCGGAATATTTGAAATGACTGTCACGGCTGATAGAGAAGCAAAGTCATATAAACTCTCCAGCAGGTGGTTTTCTTCAACTTCACTTGTGTGAATCAGATAAGATGTTAAGATAGACAATGTGTAACAGAGAAGGCAGGTAGGGCAGGTCTTAACACTGTTTTGCTTTAATGAATTTGTACCGGATTTTTCAGGATGGAATTTGGACTTACAACCTTATGTCAAGTGCACAAACCCTGACTCTGACAGTAACCTCTCGTGCTGCAAATCCTAATGTAACTCCCATTACAGTGGATTCTAAAATGAATAAAGACACCAGCACCTTCCCTAGTCCAATGGTTGTCTACGCAGAAGTTCGCCAAGGATCTGTGCCTATCATAGGAGCCACTGTAACAGCCCTCATCGAATCAGCTGATGGAACAACAGTGACTCTGGAACTTTTAGATAATGGTGCAGGTAACTTATAATCCATAAAAACCTTAGGGTTCTTTCTCTTTTAAGAAAGAATTAAGATACTTTTATTAGTTTTCATTTTTTAATAGTATTTCATTTTTTCCAATTACATATAAAGACAATTTTGACATTCATTTTTATAATATTTTGAGTTCTAAATTTTCTCCCTCTCTCCTTACCTACCATGAATCCTCCTGAAGATGGTAAGTTATTTGATATATACTATATATGTGCAATCTCATGAAACATATTTCCATATTAATCATGTTGTGAAAGAAGAAACAGTTGCAAAAAATTATTATTTGCAAAAGGAAAAAATGAAGATAGTATGCTTTGACCTGCATTCAGACTCCATCAGTTCCTTGTCTGGATGTGGATAGCATTTGCCATCATGAGTCTTTTAGAATTGTCTTGGATCATTGTATTGCTGAGAAGAGCAGCTACTAAATCAATCGTAATTGATCATTACAAAATGTTGCTGTTACTGTGTATAATTCTCCTATTTCTGTTAACTTCACTTTGTATCTGTTCATATATTTCTTTTTAGGTTTTTCTGAAATCTGCCTTCCCATCATTTTTATAGCATAATAGTATCCCATTATATTCATATATCAGAATTAGTTCAGTCATTCCTCAGTTGATGGGGATCCTCTCAATTTCCAACTTTTGCCACCACAAAAAGAACTGCTACAAATATTTTTGTACATGTAGGTCATTTTCCCTTTTTTATTATCTTTTTCATATACAGAACTACTAGTGGTTTGTACTGGATCAAAGGGTATGCAGTTTGATTGCCCTTTGGGCATAATTCCAAATTTCTCTCCAGAATGGTTGGATCAGTTGACTACTCCACCAACAATGCATCAGTGTCCCAATTTTCTCACATGCTCTTCAACATTTATCATTTTCCTTTTCTATCATATTAGCCAATCTGATAGGTGTGAGGTGGTACCTTAAAGTTGTTTTAATTTGCATTTCTCTAATCAATAGTGATTCAAAGCATTTCTTCATGTGACTATATATAACTTTAATTTCTTCATCTGAAAACTGTTAATTCATATCCATTGACCATTTACCAATAGGGGAATAACTTGTATTCTCATAAACTTGACTAAATTCTCTATATATTTGAGAAATGAGGCCTTAATCAGAGATAACATTCTGCAAAAAAAAAATTCCCCAATTTTCTATATACCTTCTAATCTTGGCTGCACTGGTTTTGTTTATGCAAAAATGTTTTAATTTTATTTAATCAAAATTATACATTTTAATTCTCTTGATCCTCTCTATCACTTGTTTACTCATAAATTCTTCCCTTATTCATAGATCTGACACATAAAATTTTACATGCTCTCCTAATCTGCTTATGTGATATCAACCTTTATATCTAAATCATGTACCCATTTTGACCTTATCTTGGTATGTGGTATAAGATATTGGCCTATACCTTATTTCTGCCAAATAGCTTTCCAGTTTTCCCAGTAATTTTTGTCAAATGTTGAGTTCTTGTCCCAGAAACTGGACTCTTTGGGGTTAATCAAACACTAGATTAGTATGGTCATTCACCACTGTGTCTTGTGTACCTAATCTATTCCACTGGTCCACCACTCTATTTCTTAGCTAGCACTAGATTGTTTTGATGACTACCACTTTGTAATATGGTTTGAGACAGAGTACGGTAAGGTCACCTTCCTTCACATTTTTTTCATTGATTTCCTTGATATTCTTGACCTTTTCTTCTTCCAGATGAACTTTGTTATTATTTTTTCTAATACTATAAAATAACTTTTGGCCATTTGGTATGGCACTGAATAAGTAAATTAATTTAGGTAGAAATGTCATTTTTGTTACATTGGCTTGACCTACCCATGAGCAATTAGTATTTCTCTAATTGTTTAGATCTGACTTTATTTGTGTGAAAGATGTTTTGTAATTGTGTTCATATAGTTCCTGAGTTTTTCTTAATAGGTAGACTCATAAGCATTTTACATTATCTGCAGTTATTTTAAATGGAATTTCTCTTTCTCTTGCTGCTAGACTTTGTTGGTAATATATAGAAATGCTGATGATTAATAGGAGTTTATTTACTATCCTGAAACATTGCTGAAGTGGTTAATTATTTCAACATTTTTTAGTTGGTTCTGTAGGATTCTCTAAGTATACTATCATATCACCTTCAAAGAGTGATCATTTTTTCCTCATTTACTATTCTAATTTCTTTTATTTCTTTTTCTTTGCTTATTGCTATAGCTAGCATTTCTAGTACTATATTGAATAACAGTAGTGATAATGGGCATCCTTACTTCACTCCTTATCTTATTGGGAAGGCTACTAGCTTATCCCAATTATGGATACTTACTGATGGTTTTAGATCAATACTACATATCATTTTAAGTAAAGCTCCATTTTTTCCTATACTTTTCTGTGCTTTCAATAGGAATAAGTATTGTATTTTGTCAAAAGCTTTTTCTTTATCAATTCAGATAACAATATGATTTTTGTTGTTTTTCTTATTCATATAGTTAGTTATGCTGATAGTTTTCTTAATATTGAACAAGTTCTACATTCCTAGTATAAATCCCATCTGGTCATAGTATATGATCTTTGGGATATATTATTGTAATCTCTTTGCTAGTGTTTTCTTTAAAATGTTTGCATCAGTGTTCATTAACATTCTTGGCAGGAGGTCATTAATACCTATTCCTGGCTGAAAGGGAAGAGTCAGGTTCATAACTTTTATATTTGAGAAACCTTAACAAAATAAAATGAAAAATTACATGGTATAGTGGAAAGAGCACAGGATTCTCCCTTTTTCACTCGTTCAATATTTTATGTTTTTCCAATTACATGTAAAAACAATCTTAATATTCTTTTTTTATTCTGAATTCCAAATTCTCCTCCTCTTTCTCTTCCCCCCCTTATTGAGAAGGCAAACAGTTTGACATAGGTTATATATGTGTAGTCACAAAACACATTTCCATGGAAGTCATTCTGTGAAAGAAAATGCAGACAAAAAAAACAAGAAAAATAAAGAAACTAAAGAAAAAGTATCTTTGATCTGCATTCAGGCTCTACCAGTTCTTTCTCTGGAGATAGCACTTTTCATCATAAGTCCTACAGAACTGTCTTGGATCATTGCTGTTGAGAATAGCTAAATTATTCATAGTGGATTATCATACAATATCACTGTTACTGTATACAACCTTCTCCTGGTTTTGCATGTTTCACTTCGCATCAGTTCACGTAAGTCTTTCCACATTTTTTAAAGAGCATCCTGCTCTTATTCATGTAAGTTAATGTAGGTCAGTTTATGTAAGTCTTTCCATATTTTTCAAAGAGCATCCTGCTTATCATTTCTACTTTTCCCCCACTTAATAGTATTTTTTCCAATTACATGTAAAGATAGTTCTTAACATTCACTTTTATAAAATTTTGAGTTCCAAATTTTTCTCCCTCACTCTCTTCCCTCTCCTTTCTCCAAGACAGTAAGCAATCTGATATAGGTTACACGTGTATAATCATATTAATCTTATTTTCACATTATTCATGTTGTGAAAGAAGAATCAGAACAAAAGGGGACAATCAGAAGAAAACAAAAACAAAAACAAAAAATGTGAAAATAGTAAGCTTTGGTCTGCATTCAGACTCCACAGTTCTTCCTCTGGATGTAGAGAGAATTTTTCATCATGAGTCTTTTGGAATTGTCTTGGGTCACTGTATTGCTGAGAAGGGTTAAGTCTGTCATAGTTGATTATCATATAATGTTACTGTTACTGTGCACAATGTTCTCCTGGCTCTGCTCACTTCACTCAGCATGAGTTCATGTCTTTCTAGGTTTTTCTGAAATCTGCCTAATCATCATTTCTTTTTATGTTTCTTTTGCATCTTGTATTGGAAAATCAAATTTTCTATTCAGTTTTTTTATTTCTATCAGGAATGCTAGAAAGTCCTCTATTTCATTGAATATCCATTTTTATCCTGAAGGATTATACTCACTTTTGCTGGGTAGGATTCTTGGTTGTAATCCTAGCTCTTTTGCCCTCTGGAATATCACATTCCAAGCCCTCCAATCATTTAACATACAAGCTGCTCAATCTTGTGTTATTCTGACTGTGGCTCTACGATATTTCAATTGTTTCCTTTTGGTTGCTTGCAGTACTTTCTCCTTGATCCGGCAAGTTTGGAATTTGGCTATAATATTCCTGTGAGTTTTCATTTTGAGGTCTCTTTCATGAGTTGATCAGTGGATTCTTTCAATTTCTATTTTACCCTCTGGTTCTAGAATATCAGGGCAATTATCCTAGATAATTTCTTGAAAGATGGTGTCTAGGCTCATTTTTTAAATCATGATTTTTAGGTAGTCCAATAATTCTTGAATTATCTCTCCTGAATCTATTTTTAGGCCACTTGTTTTACCAAAGAGATATTTCACATTTTCTTCTGTTTTTTTTTAATTCTTTTGATTTTGTTTGATTGTTTCTTGATGTCTCATAAAGTCACTAGCCTCCACTTGCTCAATTCTAACTTTTAAGGAATTATTTCTTCAGTGAGTTTTTGTATTTCTGTTTCCATTTGGCCAATTCAACTTTTTTAAGGAGTTCTTCTCTTCAGTGAATTTTTGCATATCTTTTTTTTTCATTTGACCAATTCTGCTTTTCAAGGATTCCTCTCTTCATTAGATTTTTCTGCCTCTTTTACCATTTGACCTATTCTGTTTTTTAAGGTGTTATTTTCCTCAGTATTTTTTCATGCCTCCTTTACTAAACTGGTGACTCATTTTTCATGATTTTCTTGCATCACTCTCATTTCTCGTCCCAATTTTTCCTCTACCTCTCTTACTTGATTTTCAAAATCTTTTTTGAGCTCTTTCATGTTATGAAAGCAATCCATATTTTTCTTGGAGGCTTTGGATGCAGGAATTTTTACTTTGTTGTCATCTGAGTGTGTGTTTTGATTTTCCTTGTCACCATAATAATTTTCTATGGTCAGAACTTTTTTCTGTTGTTTGCTCATTTTCAAGCCAATTTCTTGACTTTTAACTCTATGCTAAAGTGAGATTTTGCTTCCCAAGTGGAGAGGGCACTGTCCCAAACTTCAGGTTTTTGTGCAGCTGTTTTCAGAGGTAATTCTGGGGACTGTAAGTTTTTGGCACTTCCAAGGTGATATGACCTAGAGATAGGCGTATTACTACTCTCCTGACTTGTGCTCTGGTCTCTAAGGGACCACAAGCACTCTTTTCAATCCTGGAACTGTGACTGGGGTCCCTGCACCCTAGTGGCTATAAGCTTTGTTTTGCTTTCCCAGTGCTACTCCTCGCACTGGGACTAAGACTCAGAACTGCAACCCAGATCCAACTACAGGCAATGCAACAGAGTGCTGCCCCATGCCAGCAAAGGAACCCCTATAACTCTCATTCTGACCCATTGTCCAATCCTTTTACCATCTGTGGGCTGAGGAGTTTAGAAACCACCACCACTGCCACTGATTCAATTGCCCTGAGGCCTACACCTGTTTTGCTGGAGTCTGGTCTGCACTGGACAGCTTTCCTCTCTCACCCTAGTGCAACAGACCTTTCTTGCCAACCTTCTAAGTTATCTTCGGCTGGAAGATTGTTTCACTCTGTCATTGTGTGGGTTCAACCACTCTAGAATTTGCTTAGAGTCATTATTTAACAGTATTTGAGGAGAGGTCCGGTGAGTCCCTGCCTTTACTCTGTCATCTTGGCTCCATCTCTTGCCTGGACAATCATGTTTGAAATGTATTAGCTGTATGATCTTAGGCAGTCACAATATCACTGGGTCTCAGTTTCTACAACTGTAAAATGAGGGGTTGGACTCAATGTCCAACCAATGTCCTTACCAGCTCATGATCCATGAAAAACATGTTTCATTTCCTTTGAAAAGAATTCTAGATCTGTGCAAAAGTTTTCTTCCCTTTTATGAGTAAGGAATCTATTCCTTCCTCCCTTTGGATTCTTAGAATCCCTAGCTTCCTTTACAACACAAATCAGGTCCCATCTCCTACACAAGATTTCTCCTGATTTCCACTAAAAGCTACTTCCCTCTCTATTCTCCTCCCCACCAAACTGCTTGGTATTTACCTTGTACACACTTTGTATTGAACTTTCCACTACTTATCTTTGTTTGAGTTGTGTCTACCAAGCTAGATGTAATCTGCTTGAGGACAGGGTCTGTTTCCTTTTTGTTAATGTGCCTCTAGCTTACCGAATTGAATTGAATGAATGTCAGCATCAGGCTTGAGGTCCAGGAAGATTGTTTACCTGAAAACATAACAGGCCCCCTAGTAACCAAACAAAGATAGCTAAGAATCTTTTAGTTTTAGGGAAAGTGTGTAACCTATAAATAAACAAACAATCAAGGCTTTCCCTAAGATCACAAGGCAGTCCAGTAACTTGGGTTAGGTGAACCCATATAGCACAGTAAAGAGGGGTCCACAGAAGACTGTAATCAGATATTAAACAAATTTAAAAGTTATTTGGTAAAAAGCAAATTCAAAATCATTAAAATATAGGGAAATACTTTAGAGCAGTGGCTCCCAAATTTTTCCATGATCCCTGGGAGGAAGAACAATATCACACTGACCAAACATCAGCACCACCCTGCTTCTGTCCCCAGTACATCCCCTCCAGGGAATGGGCTATGCAGACAGCCTTCAGCAATGATGTCTCCTCTACTCCTTGAAATACCTGTACATCCTGGGGAAGAGAACTTCTTGGCACTATGTGTGGTATCCGTTTAATAAAAATGTATGGATTTGAGAGACATTTATTAAATTGACACTAAGGTAAGGCACAATGCTAGTAGCTAGAGATGCTTTCACAAACAATAAGCAATTCCTGCCCTCAAGGAACTTACAATCAAACTGGCTGAAAATAACATGCACAGATAGGTAAAGGCAAAGTATATGCAAGGTAAATTCAAAGTACTTTGGGTGTGAGAGAGGATAGGGAAGGAACTAACAAATACAGGAATTTGGAAAGGCCTTGTGGAGGAAATGGCACCTGAGCTATGCTTTGAAGTTAGTTATGGATTCCAAGAATCAGAGGTGAGGAAGAAGCACATTCCAAAACTGGGAGGCCAGTGGGTCATTTAAGCAAAGGCAGAGAAGTAAGAGATTGAAGGATATGTATAGGGCACAGTTAGACTGCCAGTCTGATTGGTATGGGGATCACATGAAAGGGAGTAATAGAAAATAATACTACAAAGGCAGGTGGGAGTTAAATTATGGAGGGATTTAAAAGACTGACAAGATTTCTATAGAGGTAATAGGGGGTAGTTGAAGTTTTTGCATAGTAAGGTCACATGTTCAGATCTGTGTTTTAGGAGTGTTGCAGAAGGATGAGACTGGAGGCAGGAAGACCAATTATGAGGCTCTTATAATCATCCAAATGCATGAATTACGGTAGAGGCTGTATGAGTAGAGGAAAAGAGATTGATGGAAGAGATGATATACAGGTCAAATTGACAAGACTTGGCAAATGATTGGATATGGAGATTGAGAGAGAGGGAAGAGACATGGGTTCAAGTCCTGCCTCTTATACTTACTAGTTCTTTGACTGGAAAAGTCACTTAACTGATCTAAGTTTCAGTATCCTCATTTGTACAATGGGTACAATAATATCTTTCATCTGGGCTGTGCTGGCATATTTTTAAGAGCTGACTCTGAAGAAAAAAAGAACATACAACACACTTCTAAGTTTAATCTCCATTACTTTCTTAAATCTAGACATTCAACTAAACAATAAACCAAGGCCCAATTTGTAGGTACTTCCAAGGTATAAAAGCTCAACATTAAAAATTGACCAAAAAGCCATCTCTAGTACAAGTTGACTCTAACACACCACTTATAGGTGTGTTATAGTACTTATAGGGTTGTTGAGAGATTCCAATGAGATCAAGTTTGTAATTAGCTTTGAAAACTCTCAAATAGTTTATAAAAATGTATGCTTGTGTCTAGAAGTGGCATATATGCTTGAGTCTATTACTATCTTCAAAAGTCCAAGTGTATTTTTGAGAATTTATTTATGTATTTATCATGGCAATGCTTGACAACTCCTTTATTTCTACACAAAGGTGCTGATGTTTCTGAGAATGATGGTGTCTATTCAAGGTATTTCAGATCCTACAAAGCAAATGGTCGATACAGCTTAAAAGTGAGAGCCCTGGGAGGAACAAGCACCCAAATGTCAAGACCCCAAGTGAATGGAGCCTTTTATGTACCAGGTTGGATAGAGAATGGTAAGAAACCCAGTATCTCTTTCAGATGGTGAATGGTGGATTTTTTCAGATTTCTACTTTACCCTCTTGTTCTAGAACCTCAGGGCACTTTTCCTTCACAATTTCTTGTAATATTATATCAATATTCTTTTTTTAAATTTAACTTTCAAGTAGTCTAATGATTCATATATTGTTTCTCCTTGATCTGTTCTCTAGATCAGTTGTTTTTCTAATTAGATGTTTCATATTCCCTTCTGTTTTTTCATTCTTTTGATTTTGTTTTGTTATTTCTTGATGTCTTATAACATCATTCACTTCCCCTTGCCCAATTCTACTTTTTAAGGAGTTATATTGTTCCTTATGATTTTATATCTCTTTTTCCAATTGGTCGATTTCTTGATTTTCTTGGAAACTTCCAATTGGTTGATTTCTTTCCTTGATTTTCTTGGAAACTTCCATAACAAAAATTTGGTACTGTATTGAGTCAATGGCAAGAGGGGATCTAATTGAACTTTGACACATCTTGGATCTCAAACTAAAGATTATTCATACTTTATGGAACTTGTTGAAAGCAGTGGGGCTATTTAGCCCAGAGAACAGAAGACTTACCTGTCAAGTAGTTGAAGGGATCTCCCAAGGAAGAGAGATTAGACTTGATCTGCCCCAGAGGGCAGAACCAAGCTCAGTAGGTACAAATTGCAAAGAGGAAGATTTAGCCTTGATAGAAGGTAAAACCTCCTAACACTTAGATCTCTTCCATAGCTAAATGAGCTACCTCAGCAAGCAGAGTTTCCCCTCATTAGATGGGATCCCCATCACTAAAGAGCTTCAAGTTCAATCTGGATGACTACTCAGGTTTATAGAGGAGGACTCTTTTCACATAATATGGGTTATATGGCCATTGGGTCCCTGGCAATTCTGAGGTTCTGCAATTCTGTAATTGAGAGGCTAACTACCAAATGCATCTTACTGTAAGTCCAGTATGTCTGTCCTACATTGAAAGTTCAGCAGACAGTATAACACAAGAAAGCAGTCTCTGCATATCTGTAACTGGTAGAAGAAGCCTTAAGTATTCCAGTATTGCCCACAGACACAAATATTTGGGTAGAAGTAGAAAGGTTAGGGCTAAGTATCACAGTATCTCAGAACTGGAAGGGACCTCCATGGCCTTCTAGACCAACCCATTCCTGGAGCAAGAATCCCCTCTACAACATACTGTCTCCATCTTCTGCTTGAAGCTCTCTAGTGATGGAGCAATCCACTGAAAAAGTCTATTCTATGATAGAAAAGCTCTAATTGCTATATCTGTTCCTTTTTAATGTCTACCCATGGCTCTTGGCTCTCTCCAACATGACCAAGCTATATAAATCTACTCCCTCCTGCTTCTCAATGAGTCAGACAGCATGTTTGATGTTTCTGGTATAGACAGTAAATACTACAGGCCTCAGAGGCAAGTGAAATCAGTTCACTTTAGGCTGGAGCAGTCAGGGAAGAACATTGAGAGGACACAGACTATGAAATAGGTTCTGAAAGACGTAGAGGATTAATTAGATAGGCAGAGGAGGTGACACAGTTTTTTCCAAATGAATGATTTCCAGTAAATCTGTTCTTTGGGAAAGAGAGCTGGGATATTTCCTTTCTTCCTTTTACTCCATACAAACTTAACTCATGGCTTGATACCTAAATTTAGCAGGAGATGACAGTGTTATTGAGAAGAAAAAAACTGAAAGAGGAGGGTGAGCTGGGGACACTATGATCACATATAATGAAAATATGGTGGATAGATCACTGGCACTAAAGTGGATAGAGCACTGGCCCTAAGTCAGGAGGACCTGAGTTCAAATTTGGCCTCAGATCAAACACTTGACAGTTACTAGCTGTGTGACCCTGGGCAAGTCACTTAACCCCAATTGCCTAAAAAAAAAAATGCAGCAAGCAAGTGGTATTGTGCCTAAAGACCTGAATGACTTTTTCCATGCAGGAGAAGTAAAAATGAATCCACCAAGACCTGAATTTAATGTCAGTGACCTTCAAGGCAAGCAAGTATCTTTCAGCAGAACAGCATCAGGAGGTTCTTTTGTAGTAACCAATATTCCAAGTGGCTCCATTCAAGATGTATTCCCACCATCTCAAATCACTAACCTCAAGGCTCAGGTAGAAGGAAATCGCATTAATCTGACATGGACAGCTCCTGGAGATGACTATGATCATGGTCACGGTAAGTCTGAAGTTTGGTTATCATTTAGAACAACAACAAAAAAAAAGCAGCCATTTCCAAAGTGTCTGCTCTGTACAAAGCAGTGCAGTAGGCACTGGAGAAAGAGAGTCCCTACCCTCAAGGAGCTTGTGTTCTGGTGCAGAGATACAACATGAACAGAGATAAGTAAATGTAATTAATATACAAAATAATTCAAAGGAAGTTCAAGAGGGAGAGAATACTCACAAGGAACATAGACTATTAGTGCTAGAAGGGAATGCTGAGCCCACCTAATCAAGCAGTCACCTAGCCATTCTTGAACACCCTCTACTGAAGAAAGAGCAGTTAAAAAAATATGGTTTTAAAAAGAAAATCTATTCCCAGAAATTCATGCTTTCATACTATGAGATATCTTACTAAAGCAACTATAACAAAGTTCGTAGAAAGACTCTCTTGAGGTTTGTATCAGAGAAGATAGAAATTTAGAGCCTGAAAGAATGAAAGGTAGATGGAGGAGCAGGTTTAGGAATAACATAGAAATGTTCTGTAGAACTAAGTTTACCCCCTTTGGAAGTAACTTCAAAATCTACCCAGAACTCAATTTCTAAAGAAGTTAACAAGAAATAGCATTTCCCTCTCTCAGGAGAAATGGTCCCTGTGGAGATCTACTACATACGTACCTGCTTGACATTTATCACTCTGTCAAGGACGCACACACAAGACCTTAAATGGAATGCTAGATAAGACTATAACAATAGCTTACTATTGATCTCTTAGATAGGGAAAACACATTTTTCTGATCTCTGATATTTATTATTTTTCTGCTTTATTAAATCTATGTAAATATTATAAGTAGTTTCATCTCCTTTTAGCCCAAGAGTACATTATACGAATGAGTGAAAGTATCCTTGACCTACGGGATAAGTTTGATGATGCTCTCCAAGTGAACACTACTGATCTGATACCTGAGGAGGCCAACACCCAGGAATTCTTTGTGTTTGAGCCAAAAGGCATCAATCTGGTGAATGGCACCAACATCTACATTGCCATGCAGGCTGTTGATAAAGCAAATCTGAAGTCCAAATTATCAAACATTGCACAAGTTTCTGTATTTATACCTCCAGAGAAGACCCCATGTAGTGGCAGTCACATCTATAAAATAATGTTGAAGTGGCTGGGTGAGTTGCAGGTGACTATACCCAAGTAAAGGGCCTTATGTATACTGACCTGAAGCTCAGGTTTTGTGAGAAGAGTACAAATCCATTTTTTCCTCTGGATTTGTCCCATCTCATCCATTTCCTTTTTGATTATAAACATTTATCAGATGTATTCCTGATTGCTGAGTACAAAGGAAACATTGACATGTGGATGATTAAACACAAAATATCTGGATATGTATGTGAAAGGACTATTTAGCCAAGTGTGACAATTATCACCTTTTTATTCACTATCCCATATGCTGACAAATAAAGGCAACTCTCATTTAATACTTTTTAAAAATGTGTTGTTATTGTTTGGATGAGAACTAAGATAGTTATGAATGGCAGTCAAGCTTGTCCCTAGAGAAAAGATGGGAAAGCATGCCCCCCTCCCTGTACTGCAGAGGTGGGGGACTATAGGTAACAATATTGTGTCTATCACAGGGCATGGTCTTTTTGCTGATTAGTTTTGCTGAATTGCTTCTTTTACCTCTTTTTCAAAAAAACATCTTCATTATAAAGGATGGATTGCTGGGGAGGGCAAAGGGAGAGATATTTTCAGAAATGATATAAAAAATAAGACTGCAATAGAAATAAGGCAAAACAATTAAAATGTAAAGAGAAAGAACAAAAAATATTAAATGGATGCCAGTTGGCCAGAGAAATTAAACTTTTAACTTCTCACTTTGGTTAGTCAACAACAGTTGTGTACAGCAATTGGTCTACCCCCACAAGACAGAATCTCAGAGTTGGAACAGACATCATTTAGTGCAACGCTTACCCAAGCAGGAATCTCCTCTAACAGAACACGAATTCAATGAATACCAATCAAGTTCATATGACATGGAAGACCCAGTGGTTGTCTAAGAGCCCCCACTGGAAGAACTCTAGAGATGGAAAACCCAAGCTTCCAAGATAAGCAATGTCACTTTTGGACAGCTCTAATTTTTAGAAAAGTTCTCTTTCTGTAGAGCTGAAGCCTGCCTCTCATCTGCCATTCCTAGGACTGCTTTCTTGGGCAAAATGAGCCAAGTTGGACTCTTTTTCCACATGACAGACCCTCAGAGACTTTAAGTTCATGGTTCAGTGGGAGAAGTGCTGGATTTGGAGTCACACAACCTGAGGGACCGTTAACCTATGGTTCTAATCCCCCTGGTCCTCAGTTTCTTCATCTGTGAAGTAAAGTGGTTGTACTCTAAGGTCCCTTTAGAACTATGGTCCTGTATACCCCTGAATTTTTTCTTCTCCAAGCTGTTTATATTTCTTTCATGTGAACTTCAAATTGCAGTCTCTAGTCTCTAAACCCTCTTCTAGACTTCTCCAGCTTATCAATGTCCTTTCTCAAATGTAGCCGCAATAGCTGAGTACAATTCTCCAGATATGGTCTGACCAGGACAGAGAGATTGCTTTCCACAGTGGGACTATCACCTTGGGGTGTGTGCGATGTTCAGAAGGACTAGCACCTCTGGTGTGAGGGCTTGCTGAGAACTTTTCAGGGCTACTCATTCAATACCTTTGGTGTCCAACTAGTCACCTAACTCTCACCCGTGACTTCAAGAAGCTGTAATATGCACTGTGGCCACACTTCAGTAAAACTGTCTTGGCAAAAGGGTTAAAGCAGGTTGAGGGTAACCAATGGACCTCAAACCTGTTGGTGAATTAGGGGGATGTCTACCTCAATCACATGAGTGAAAGGAGTTGCTCTCAGAGTCAGGAAGATCTGGGGTCAAATCCTGTCTACGACACAACCTCGTCCTGTGATGGGCAAGTCACTGACAATTCTCTAAAACGATAAGATACAGAGAAGGGACCAAACTGCCTGAACAGGGGTCTCTTAGCTAGAGATCCTTGCCTATCCATATAGTATACATTAATAATTAACTGTTAATATGTGATTAAGTCAGTACCCTTTGGGGCTAGATCTAGCTTTAACTGGCCATGGAACTCACTCAAGTCAGAATTTCTCTAGATTTTAATTTGCTTAACTGAAAAATAATAAGCTGAACTAAATTATCTCTAAGTTCTCTTCTGGTTCTAAAATATCATCCCAATAATTCTGCTTGTAACATGAAGGACCTGGAGCCATCACTCATAATCCACAAAAGAGGTCCAAGGGAGGGGGTGATTGCCTCTTTCCTGCAACCATCCATCACTACCATGTCCTAGTGTGGACAAAATTTTGACCATGAGTAGCAAAGACACTAAAAACAAAGCCCAAATCTGTCTCCCAACTTTATAAAACATGGATGTATCCTTTCACAGGATACTGTTATATGTAGTTTATCATTTCATTTAATTTTGCTTTGACCACTATTTAAAATGAAAAAGTACTAAACTACAGAAATTGCACAATGTAAGACTGACTAGGATGGCATCCTCATTCAGTTGGTTGAGATTGCTAAGGAACACATGACTGGATTGAACTTTCCAAACAATGAGTGATCATTATCTTGCAGACTTTGGAGACAGAATGGAGTTTTGGAGAGAGCTGGCCTGAAAAAAGCCAGAAGAGTCTGAGTTCAAATCTCACATTAGCATATACTAGCTCTGGGTCCCTGGGCAAGTCATTGAAGCTTTCAGTGTCCTGGACAACTCTTGAAGGCTCTAAGCTGCAGAGCAAGTGACAACCTACATTAGTAGAGGGTGTTTCTTAATCCAGGAGCTCCCTATACCAATGAAGTCACAGGTCCAGACTTTGTCCCTATCTTAATTTTAGAGAAACTGCACTGTTATTATCATTATTATTATGAAAGTGTTAACCTGAAAAGAAACACTTGTATCAGAAAGAAGCTCTGTTTTGTCCATAATTTGTCCACAGAAATATTGGATGCTTTCAGAGGATATTTTGGCCACCAGGGCTGACAAAGTCCTTAAATTCTGAAGGGGGTTCTATTTACTGTTTATCACCAAAATGCATCTGTTGATCTGCTAGGCACACAGAGAATTCTGACAATCTTTTCAAAGCAGAGATCCTTTCTACTCTTCTCCATGCTTCCATGACTCCAATTCAACTAAAGAATTCTGGGCTCAAACAGTAAACTATACTATGACATATAATACATTTATCAAGGTACCATCATCTATTAATTATATTTTATTCTCAGCTAAAACACAAAGAGTAAGAAATTGTGGTGGTTTCTGACAGTCAGGTCTATAAGTATTAAATACTACTATGTACCAGGCATTGTGATAACTGCTGGGAATATATACACTACATACAAGCTAAAAGAAAGCTAGTGCTGGCCTTCCAGTAGCTTACATTCTGTTGGGGAGACAATACATAAAAGGAAGCTGAAATGTTGCGAGAGATTGGGGGAGATGAAGGGAGAAGGTACCTGTCCTGGAGCATAGTAGAAAAAGTCTAAAGAGAGTAAGTGAAGCCAGAACAGAGACACAGTGGGCCTGGGAACTTTCCTCACAATGGAAGTTCTGAGAAAAACTGACCAATCAAAGAAGGGATCATGGGGGAGGAGTATAATTCCAAGGTGAAGAGGCTGCAGGGGCAGAATGAGCTTTCAGGGTGAGGAGGCTGCTATGGCATGGCAGAGAAAGTCTGGGGAGTCAAGAGTGGATTCTGGACAGGAATGAATGCTTGTCCCAATGAGTACTTCTCATTCGGCTGGTTAGTCTTCTTTTGAAGTTGCCAAAGTCTGCTTTCCACGTTTTTCACAAAACGTGTTTTCCAAATATAGAAAACGACTTGTTCTTCATCCACACATTTACTTATATAGCTAAGTTAAGGGTCACTGGTTTTAGGTCAATATTGAAAGTCTCACCAGGAGAACTCAGAGGCAGGCCACTGACAAAACACCCTGGAACCACTAAGTGAGCTACTTTAAGAACATGTAGGAAAGAAGTTCCATTCCTCTGAGTCATTCTTTACCTCAAGTAAAGAAAACATCTGTATCCATGTCATGAGAGAATTTGGTATAAACATCTGCTTTAGTGCCACATTCTGTGCTTCCATTGTGAAGACTCAACAATCTACTCTAGTATACAGCACTCTGTCTGGAAAGAGGGATCCCTTCTCATCTGGGTTGGCTATGCTTCCAGAGCATTTCCATTTTTTTGTGCGAGTGTGTGTAGATATGAGGATTGTTATAGGTGAAATGCCTACATCATTCATGGCAAAATCAAAGACAAGAGAGAAAATATTCAGGAGAAGACAGTAGTCAGTGGCATCATATATTGCTGAAAAGTCAAAAAGGATGAACACTAAGAAAATATATGTCTTAATTAAGAAGTCACTGATAACTTGGAAGAAAGCAGTTTCAGTTCAATGAAGCATCAAAGATAAGACTGAAAACTCAAGAGACTGGAAGGATAATGATGTCCTTGAAAAATATTGTTGTTCATCCTTCATTTTCAAAGAGGACCAATGACATCACGCGTTGGATTTAAGTGAAGCAGAGTTGCATAAAGTTGGCAGCCTCATTCTCTCTTCCAGAGTCACTGAAGTCCTGCGAGAGAATAGAAGTCAAGTTGACTGGCGATGGCCTAGGGTACAGTAGGTGACCTTTACGTCTTTTTTGTTTGTTTGCTTTAGGTGGCACAGTGGATAGAGTGCCAGGACTAGAGTCAGGGAAACTCATTTTACTGAGGCCAAATCTGGCCCCAGACACCCACTGGCAGTGTGACCCTGGACAAGTCACCCAACCCTGCCTGCCTCAGTTTCCTCATCTGTAAAACGATCTGGAGATGGAAATGGCAAATCATTCCAATATCTTTGCTAAGAAAACCCCAAGTGGGATCACAAAGAGTTGAACATGAGGGAAACAACAACAACAACAGTAAATGTTAATTGACTGGCTGACTGCTGTTGCTACTAATGTAATCAGTAAAGTAATGGGAGGATAACAGACCCAGAGGATGTGCTAAGATCCTCAGGCCCTGGCTTAATACTTTGGCATCTTCAATGTCTGACCAAGCTCTAAGCACTCCACAGAGCCTGCTTCATCTGCCTTCATGGCCGTTGGAACAAATTGTTCTCAGCTGCCTATTCTGCCTGGAGAAGTCTTCGCATGTTCGGGGTAGATACTCCCCCCAACAAACTAATGGATTTGAGGCCTGCTGGTCCTCAACCTAGTTTAGCTTGTCTGCTGAGGTTTTTCTGGAGTGTGGCCACTGCACATGCTACAGCTTCTCGGAGCCACAGGTGAGAGCTGGGTGGCAGGTGGACACAAAAAGTGGACAAGCAGCCCTGAAAAGGGCTCAGTAGCCCTCACACCAGAGGTGCTAGTTCTCCATGAACACCCATGCATCCGTTTGGCATGTACACAGACAACAGTGAGCATATGTTTG